AGTCATTGACTCAATGTGTTATCGAATTTAAATAAAATCTATTATTATTTTTATTATTATTATTATTAAATATAGTGACCAGTCCACCAGTCTGTAAGAGAATTTGTCTAAAAACCTAGTTATATCTGTGTTAATTTGGGGTATCTCACATATAACAAGAATCTGATTGTGAATTACAGTAATCAGGACAGGGTTGAGGAATACTCGGTACATGTACACTGAAAAATAACTTATTATAGTTTAATATTGCTGTACAGTATTTCCTAGGGACTTCTAAAATAGATTTCCTCCTATATAGCTAATTTGTTTACTGTCATGAAAGAAATGATTTAAGCAACTTATTTTTGGGGGGATATTATATAAATGTTATGTACATTTCTGGAGAGAAAAAAATTGTACATGGTAATATACTTGTACATGGTAATGTATACAAAACTTGAGAAATGCTACTGAAGAATCAACCACCTTTCTGTTTTGATTTATAAACACAAATTGATCAGGGTGTGTGCTAATGCCATGATCATGTGTCCTCATGTCATTTTGAAACTTGAAATTCAAAAAGAAGCTTTTGCATCGCCAGTAGCTATTCACATGGCAGAAATACCAAAGAACCTACCACTTGGTTTAAAGGACCCAATTTATGTAGTAGCAATTTAACCTCTGTTGACATCTGTTTAATTGTTACTGTGGTGTGAAATCCATGATTTAGCAGTGTGTACTATTTTGTGTTTACAGCTACAGCAGTGACAGCTTTATCGAGGTCAAGGTCAAGGGCATTACTGCTGGAATAAAAGACCTACAGGTACAGAGCTATGATTTTAAACTTTCTGTTCCATATCAATTCATTTTCCATTTTTTTGTTGCAAAAGTAATAAAGTTTTAGCTCACCAGGAACAAAGTCTCCAAATAGTATGCTAATAGCATACTCATCATAATGGTCCATGTGTGCTCTACAGGCTCTATGAGCCTTTTGTTGGTAATACTATATGATATTGATGTAATGTTAATGCCCTAGACAACATGGAAAACAACTGTCATTACATTAAATTAAATTAATGGTAAAGTGTTAGTTTCAATCAATTTCTTATGTAGGCAAAATTATCATAATAGGCCTAATTACATTAAAAAATGTAAAATGCAAGTAGGTTCCAATGCTTATTCAAACAGTGATTACGCTAAATTTGTTTATATTAACGTTGATAGTTACGAGGCACACTGAGGGTGATCTTCAAGCCTCTGATTGGTCAGATTCCACTGTTTGGCGGGATGAGCTTTTTCTTCATCAACACCCCGGTAAGCTTTTAATTGTATTATAGTATTATATGTATTATACGGTAGGTCTCAAATGTGACACACTAAATATTTAATGCCTTGTTCAGCAAGATATCCAAACATAAGAATATATATAATATTTATGTATATCTATCCCATGTTCAGCTTCGGATTACCCATAGAGTAATTTGTGTTATGAATACATGTTAAATAACACCAAGTGAGGTTTAGATTGGCTATAGATTTACATTATTGAAATTGTGGCGTCACAACTAGCACAAATTTATGGCAGAAATTTAAAATTCTTTGACTTGTTTCGTAAGTCTCATAAGAATTAGAAAATCTTGTAATTATGATAATATAAGATACTCTATATCATTCATAGGCCACTCACTTTAACCTTAATATTTTATTCCATTCCAAGGACATTGACTTCAACCTGACTGGACTTGCCAACTCCCTGGATCTGCCAGGACTCAGGTAATCAAACCATACACTTAACGCTATTCAGTTGATGTGATGTGTGGTGAAAATAGGATTTTGTCTTATGTACTGGTAGTGATATTATGTTGATCATGTACCAGGTAGTTGCTGTTGAAATAAATGAATTAGGCAAAGCTATAATAATATCCTGTAGACCATCATTCGATAATCTTGAAGTATGATATAATGAAGATAGATTTACTCAACATCCTGGTTATTCAATACAATTGTATTAAATCAAGCTCATCCTAAAATCTGGTTTACCATTTGAAATATTCTCTGACAACTAGAGTATAGTGTTAGAGTTATTCAACCATTGTCTATGTTAGCGCATTCACATCTGGTTCTCAACGAATTAAAGTATGTGTATTGGTCTCTGTCTTATTTTACCACAGTTGAATACAAGTAAACAGTGACACTGACAGTGTCTTATTTCTTGTAAATACCTCATCGGAACCATGAAATTACTTCAAGATCACTAAAAACACACAGAGTACAGTGTTGTGGCACTGATCCCAACCCGCTGTCCAGGGTTATACAATTCCACTAGCCCAATATATGGGACTAGTTAATTAGATGTCCCCAGCTAGTGAAAATGTTCAATATTTGCTATAGGTTGCAGTAGAATATTTTTTTCTAAATTTGCCTGCTGTCAGGTTCTCTAAACATGAATCTGTACACTACTGCAGTCTGTATACACATATATGCATGCAGACCAATGGGTTGGGATCTCTGCTACTCCTCTTGGAAAAAAATAGTACGTGTACACTGTGAATATAAACCCACTGTCTATATTGTAGTGCTTTTCACATGATATCAAAAGCACTAAATTATGATAAACTCACAATCTTCCTACATGTTTCATTGGGAGCTGAAGTACTAAATCATAATGCATGTAACTTGAAAGTCATTGCTAATGCATGGAAATATGAACTTTCATCGGGAGTGACTTTCATGTCTCCTGTCGTATTATATTTTGCAGCGACATGTTGGATACAATTATTGCTGAACAGATATCCAACATTATGGTGCTACCTAACAGGATTGTTGTTCCCATGGTGCAGGATATCAACCTGATGTTGCTCAGATATCCTCAACCTGATGTAAGTTCTCACA